CCAACTCAAACTAGATGTCATTTGTATTCGTAACTAGCTGACCCGGTGAACTTCGTATCACTTACTTATTTTTATTTATTTTATTTATTTATTGGACAACCAACAAGACATTCACTTAAATTGTTACAATAGTTGGTTGTATGTTCATATATTGAAGTGAACTCTCAATTATAGGTTGCCACGGCAAGCTTCATAAGAAAATAAGAATTAAAAAAAAAAAAGAATATGGGCATGCAAATTACTTAGCAAGCTTATTTCATGCATGACAACAGCATAGTTCTACGACATTTTGTCTTGGATTCAAATCTAATTCCCTAATGCTGTTGCCATGACCAAGGACAACTTTATCCACTGCAATAACAGCAAATGATAAGAGACAAATACAGTAGACTTAAATTACCTCTTAATAAAAACCATATTAATATTGAAAAATATTGCGTAAACTGACCACTGCACGACTATAAATATTGCTCATCAACTCAACGTTCGACAGCTAAGAACAGTTTGTATGGGAAAATCAAATTGTCGTTTTTAGTATTATACTCGCAATTTTGTTATATTTTCTCATCGGTTAAACCTTCCCTGGACTTCCACGATTATTTCAAAACTAAAATTTGTCAAATCGGTTCAGCAGTTGAGTTTTAGCGAGATAGACTAGCTGTGACTGTAATTTCGTCCGCGTGGAAAGTAGCCTAAGTTACTCCTTATTACAAAAGCTATCTGCTAGTTTAAGTACCGTCATAATCGGTCCAGCTGTTTCAGAGCCGGAACAAATAGACAGACAAAATTAAAAAAAATAACATTTATTTTAATATTACAAACAGACACTCGAATTTCATTTATTTGTATATAGGGGAAGTTTGGCACCATTCGTACACGGGGAACCTTCATACAGTCACTACTACACCTTGTAGAAAAGTCTATTTATTACGACTTTGTGTCAGTGGATAGGCACCGGCGACTGCCAGTTGTCCACGAAGTTAGCCACACATGCAGCCACTGCGAGCGAAACTAGAGAACTTAAAGTGTTTTGGCATGCTCTTAGTAAATACTTTGTTAATGTTTTTGGAACTTCCGTGCTTTAATTACACGTCAAATTTTACTGGATTATTGCTTAATCGTAAGTGAATACGATTAAGATAATAATAATATATCTATTATAGGTATTTTTCTACGTGGGTTTTGTGTTAGAAAAAATAATTTTATTCTTGATCTTCGGGGCACGTTCGTACATTTCCAGCAAGGGCACATTCGTACGCGTATGTATGTACCCCCTAACCCCCTGTGTGCTAACAATTTTTATTATATATCAGAAAATTTAGAAAAAATGATCGGAATTTTAAAAGAAAAGGCAGACACGTTCCCAATATTCATTAAATGAGTTTTTTTGCGTCTGTAAAAGGTGTTTTTATATAGTAAAAAACAAAGAGTTTTACTAAAGAGACTAATCAATTGAAAAAGTTCAAAAACACATTTCGGAATCACGATATTGAAAGTCACAACACTATCAAATGATTATGATAAAGTTTTGAAATACAAATGTTTAACAAAATTGTTATGAAACTGGCTTCGCTGATATAGACTGGATACACAGTTTTCGTAAAGACTCTAAACGACATATAGGCATATGTCGTTTAGTTTATTACATCGTTGATAAGTTTGAGATCAATGAAAACGATATTTTTTAATTAATTTGTTATTTTACTTAATATATATGAAGTTACCACACTGTCTGAATGTTCCCCAGCCCATGTACGATTGTACCCCGTAATAGGGGTAGATTCGGACATTGCATAAGCTTCTAGTAAAATTCAATCCTTTGATATATTATACAGGATATCGGCTTTGAACTTTTTAAATAAGGAGCAGAAAGTATGCTTTATGTTTTAATAAGTAATTGAGTAATTTATCTTTGATTATCAATATTTTAAAAATCATTGACTAAAAAGTGTACGAATGGTGCCAATCTTCCCCTAAGTGATTTATGTTATTATATTGCTATTATTTCGTCTCACGTGTTATTATTATTTCGATGTTGACACGAACAAATAGGCCTCCGTGCTGACGTACCATTAGTTTTCACTAGAAATAACGGAATAAAGGTGGCAATCTTACTGATGTTCTTGCTGAACAATAAAACACATTATACATTAACCTTCGACCAAAATATAGTTTTCGTTGGTTCCTAATTCAAGAAAATAACAGTCAGTTTTGAATGCGATTATGAATGTTAAGCAACCTTCGCAAAGGTCAGTTTGCGGATGGGTGACCGTAAATGTATTGCATTTACAAAGGGCCCACTTGTAGGATTCATTAAAGCATGATATTTGACTAGGTACTCTTGAAAGTCGTACTCTCTATCTGCCTCAATGTTGGGTGCGTTTGCTTTCACATTAGGTAATTCGACTTTTCAGTATAATTTTAACGCGTGCAGACGGCGTATGGAGTGCGTGATATAATCCAATTTGTTTCAGGATGTAACTAACACTACCCCGGTACTAATTCCACCGATGCTATCATACAATTGTTCATTGAAACATTTGTAAAAAGAATATAGGCAATATAAAGCTTTATTTAGTTGCAAAAAGGTTTATTTAGTAACGTACACTCAACCGCTTCGATTTGTAGGCCTCTACAGGCTCCAAATTTATTTGACAAATTATTGCCATAGACAGCGCAATATAAATAGCTTTATATAATGACGAAACTTAGAATGCAAAAGTGGAAAGAAGTAAAAGGAGGGGAAAGGTAAGCAAGAGGGCTTAAAAAATATTTAAGTTGATGCCATAAAACCAGCGAGCACGAACGCAAGAACCTATGCACTTAAGGAAATGGAAGATGTGTATAAGGACAGCGTTTTGTGGTGCCAGGTTCTCACTATCTTACACCGGACACTTCCTTGCAGGATACCAAGCGCCATTCTTATATGAGACGGTACAGTAGAGGGTTTACTGGGCAACCCACTGGATTTTGAGCAGTCCGCGAGACTTATTCGGCAGTTGGAGAAACCCAGAGAGTTCTAAAAAACTCGGACACGTCGGCTACTTTAAGGGAGGTATGGTATGTTCCCCTTGCTATAAAAAGTTCTCATTGTCTTCTCCGTCAGAAGATAAAAACAGTAATGATAGAGGCATTGTTACGGAGTGTAGTGGAGCGGTTCGTCGGCACATTACAAGATGGCGTTATGCGCCAATGTATCGCGCTAACACTGTAGAAATTACGTGTGTCACATAGGTATACATCGGGTAGGCGTGAAACGGACGGTCACTGGGGAAAGGATGGGTAGCCGTTCTAAATCTTTATGGTAATGCCTCGAATGCACCGGTAGGGCCTAGACCAACCTAGAATGTTCTAAGTTTAAAGCTAGAACATTCTAGATGTATGATGTATATCAGACCCTATAAATACGCGGTGGATGGACTACACGTTCACACCCAGCATTCTTTCAGTGGCTATCGAACAGAATACGAAAGCGATCCGAAGTGAAATTCAGTGATAAATAGTGTCGTGAAGTAACAGTAGTGATGTGAATTAGTGACGTCGAAGCGTGTATTTTGTTAAGGGACTATTTTGTTATTTTATGTAAATAAAGAGTCGGATTTTGAATTAAACTGGCGTTAATTTTTTTATCCTGAACCCTAAGCCGTAACAGTATTTAACTTGCCTGGTTGGTTAGTGTAGAACAAGTCTAACTTAATTTAATTTGATCCACTTTTCAATTTTCGATTAAGCTGAAATTCTACACGCATCTATAGCTTAAATTATAATGCAGTAATAGGGAATAGAGCAGGAGGTACGGAGTCTCCGTAATTAAACGAAGCGACACCATCGAATTTGGGCTCGTTTTATTGAGGACAAAGATATTGGTCTGACATAATTAATGTCCAGGGTCTGATGATGGTGACCATAAGAACATTGCAATTAAGTAACGTCGAGTTGAAGCTCATTCTATATATGATCCAACATAATATTCAACAAAGCTTGTTTAAAAAAATATTACGAACGCTAATTTAAATTACCTCGGGTTTTTTAATATCACGGGGTATTTCATATTTAAATTTGAATAATGGAAAAGTAATTATTTACATTTAATTGGACGGACACCAAGCACAGTCACCGCCAGAAACGAGTCAAGTAGCCATAAAATGTTCTTGTAATTCTTCCTGTAATTAAGGGCGGGGCGGCGAGCAGAAAATTTGAAATTTAGATTGCCTCCGCGGCTACTCGTGACTTTTTAGGGGTTCTTTTGTGAGTAAAGGAAATAGGGAAAAATGTACTGCGTAGATTTATTTTCCACAAGCTTAATTCTTTACCTGTTGGTGTGTTAGAATTAATGTTGTGTAACTAAAAGAATTGCCGACTATCGATATATCGATCGATTATTATTGTCATATCAACAACACTAATTTGAAACAATATAGAAATAAAAATGATCTAAAGACATTACAAAATATATATGTTAATAAACGTAAACATTTTAAGATATTCTTGATATGAATTTACTTAACATGAAGGTAGCGTTTTTTTCCTGGAAATGTAGCCTCCTTTAGGTGAAAGATTTTTTTTAATCAGTTCAGTAGTTTCGGAGCGTATTCAGTGCCAAAAATCAATAAAAGATATGAAAGATAGGAGTAATGAATTAATTTCATATTTAATAAATAAAACTTTGACTATGCACACATCCGACTAATAAATCAAAAATAATATCATATTCCCTGATACGTTTTACACTTTTCACTAAACGGGTGATCCGGTGTAACAGGTAAAATAGCATATATAATAGTTTCCAGTTTCCTTGCCTGATATGCTCAAAGCACAAACATGGGTTTAATAAAGTGTAATAATATAATTAAAGGCCACGCCAGACACATACGCACATAATACTTCTATGTTCAAATAACATATAAGTGCACATATAACAAATTATCCAATGTCCGTGCCACAGTGTGAGCGCTTGTGATCTAAAATGGGCATGACTAGCATTCAGGGTTGTCACCTACCTTTTTAAGGTCTTTATTTAAGTCAGTGTCATCTGCTTTCCTTTTCTCGCAGGAGAGAATGCAGTTCTTCCCGGTGTCCTTTTCGCCCTGTAAAAAAAAAATAACATTAGTCCCGTGGGATCAACGTTACGTGGCCGGAATTCACGAGGTCGGGTTTATATGCCAATGATAATATCGTTAACAGGGAGAAATGTTGCAAGAAAATATAGAAAAATAAGCAAACAGTCTGGAATAGGAGACGACGTTTTTCGGCCGCTATATAAAAAAAAACCCTTGATATTTTAATATTAATACAACATCGTTTATAAATGAGTACAACAATTATCAGGATAGTTGCCTTCTTTATTTTATTGTCATTTATTTTTATATTTGAAATTATCAACTGAGATTTATTGAACCCTGGCCTTTATAATTTTACTTGCAGAAAATTTTCAAAAATAGAAAAGAATAAAAAATAAATGAAGTATGTGATTTATTCATTTCAAGCGACTTATCATAGTGCTCATAAATGTTTTCATTAGCACACAAAATATTATAAAGTCTAAGTGACTTATCAAACCCTGATAATCTCACTTGTTGATAGCTTGAATCTAATAAGTTACACAGACACATTAAAAAGCTGAACAAGTGGTAGGGGAAAAAATATTTTTGAACGATTCAAAAGTGCTTGTAACAAGCTTACTTGAATAAAACATTTTCATTTCATTTCAGCTAAGCTTTAAACGTAACTAAAAAAAGTGGCCAACATAATCAAAATGTCAAATAGGTAATTGTATCTATGCGAAATTGGAGTCTAATACGAGGGTCAAACTGAAAGTTCTTAGAACTGGCCACTTATAAACAATATAATAAAAAAATAATTCTAAAATTTGAAAATATAACTCTTTGCCAATATTACTGAGTATATATTTCATTCATTTGTCATTTGTTTTACGATTTGGCGGCAAATTGAAAATTGTCTGTGTCACGTCATCATGAATTTAACACGAGAAAATTTTCGTGCAATGATTTTTTATGACTTTCGATGTCATTTAAGTCAACAAGAAAGTTATGATAGACTACGATTGGCCTTTCACGATGAAGCCCCATCTCGTGCGACTGTTTACAACTGGTTTAATGAGTTTAAACGTGGTCGCACTAATCTCACTGATGATTTACGTGAGGGACGGCCTTCTACGGCGACGACTGAAGATAACATCTGTGTTGTGCGGCGTATGATAGAGACTGACAAAAGAGTGACCTATCAACAGATTCGGACAAGCTTAGGCATCGGTATGAGTCAAGTGCACAAAATCCTCCACGAACATTTAGCGGTCAGGAAGCTTTGCGCCCGGTGGATACCTCATAATTTGACTGAGGCTCAAAAACTCCATCGTGTGGATTGGTGTCGTAAAATGATTGAAAGATTTAACGGAGGTGACTCAAATGCTGTGTTCGACATACTAACAGGTGACGAAAGCTGGATTTACTGTTATGATCCTAAAACCAAAAGACAATCTGCTCAGTGGGTGTTTCCTTTCGAGGAGTTGCCAACTAAAGTGAAGAGAGATCGAAGTGCGGGAAAAAAAATGGTGGCCTCGTTCTTTGGAAGGATAGGTCATTTTGCAACAATTGTGTTAGAGGATCAAAAAACAGTTTCTGCAGAATGGTACACTACCAATTGTTTGCCACTTGTCTTGGAAAAAGTTCGAGAGAAACGACCTCGCAGTAGGATCCTCCTTCACCACGACAACGCCTCGTCGCACACCGCCAAGCGAACGATCGACTATTTGGCGACATCAAACGTTGAATTACTGGGTCACCCGCCGTATAGCCCCGACCTCGCGCCTTGTGATTTTTATTTATTTCCAAAAATTAAAGAAAAACTTAAAGGAAAGCGGTTTATGAATGCTGAAGAAGCGGTGGCTGCGTATCGCGATGCCATTGAAGAGACCCCTAAGGACGAGTGGGCAAAGTGCTTTTCCCAGTGGTTCCATCGCATGCAGCGGTGTATTGACGTGAATGGACAATATTTTGAAAAGATATAATAAAACTAATAACTGGCTAATGTAATCAGTTTTTGATTTTCTAAGAACTTTCAGTTTGACCCTCGTAAAAGATAATATAATATCGAGTTTGACAAACGGAAATTAAAGAAGAATTTGTTTAAGGCAACATTTCAGTGTAGTCCAAATTATTTTTCCGCTAACCTTCCGTTTTCAGCGACAGAAACTTATTTCCTTCTTTATTCTCCTTTCGCAGAGTTCAAAAGTGAGAATATTTTGACGTTAAAAATATATATTCCAAAGAATCCGGCTAGCAGCCGGGTTAAACACTTTTTTTAGAAATCCAACAGTCGCAAGGCTTAGGTTTAATTTGAAGAATTTTCTGGCGCATTGTGGATAGTTCGTATTTTTCTCATCCTCATCCGCGCAATGCTAGTAGTAACACATTCCATATGATGAAATTGGATTGCTAGAGCCATAGTTAATAAACAAAATACGAACGTAATCGCGACTCTATTTCCTTCGGTATTATTGATAATAACTTAAAATATAATCACCATTCTATCACCTTGCCCGTGTTCTATTATGTCATTTAACTTATTCACTTAACTTATGCAAATGCTAGTAATTGGATGGGTGACCTGCCATTTAGTATAGCGGCAGTTAACTGTCTCTTGTAGTCTAAGAGATCGTAAACAAAATATAAAAGAGCTTTCCGAAGCTTGATATTTCAGTATGTGGAAGTACTAATGGTATGCATAACTCAGTATCAAGTGCGGGGGGCAGTTGATGAAACACTTGGTGGTGGGCTGGGGTAATAATAAGTATTAAATCGTAACACATATTAATGGTGCCTTTTAAGCGAAAGACTTATTCTTGATATAAAACGTAGACAAAACCCAGCAGATCTACGAAGTTGGTGTGAAAATGAGCTCCGAAAAAGAGTTTTGTAACGGTTGATAGTTCAGTTTTATACTAAAGTATTAGTAATTAGTTCATAAAAAATACTACAACTTCCATATAATGGAAAAAACTCATTCAGCAACCACTAAGTTTATTTTCGCGCCGCCGCAAACCAGGCGTTCTAGAGAGCCTGACCTACGCACTGGGTACTGTGTGATGTATATCCTTATAACGTCAACATACTGAAATATCAATTTTTAGAAGGCTCTTACACATTTTTGTTACGACCTTTCCGTCTACAATAAGCATCTAGGCTATACTATTTGTATATGCTCCCATTCTCTCTGTTTCGATTCACATCTTGTGTCTCAAAAACAGAGATATAAGTATTGTTCATTCGAGAATGTCGAAGATTTTATATAGACCGCTTCTGCAAACTTCTTAAACCAATACCAAATACTTTTATTGGTTCTTCAAAAACTATTAAAGTGGATGTGATCTTGGCGTCTACAGGTATAATAGCTAAAGTGAGTGTGGAAAAATAATCTTTCAATATTTCACCAAGAGAAAAAATATTTTGGATATACCAAAAAAAAGAGGTGGAACTAATAACAATAATATGACCACCAATACATTACAGAATTCCATTAGCGTACTATACCTGAGATATTGCATTAATATAGAATTTCATTTATCCTGGATTCCTCCCTTGCCACCCCGAGGCATTCCTCGGTCATTCCTGTCCCTTCCACCTCGGATTTCGATCGGGGTGGGTAGAATAAGTTTCGGGTCTACGCTTAATTCAATTTATTTCCCCTTCATTCAAATAGCTTTTGTGTCTCGCGATTTATCAATTTGTCGGCAGATGGCGCCTTTTAGGAATTACCTGTTGTAAGATTTTGTATTATTCCTTAAGAGTTTGGATTTTTTTTTCATTATGAACGTTGCCATATTGTTATTGCTCAGTCAGCTTTCCTTTTCATAGCAAATAACATAGCCTTTTGTATTATCAGGGACATAATCGCTCATATTTCGGTAATAAGAGATCTTACAAGAACGCGTATTAACAATAATGCTTATTATCCTTATAATGCTGTTTTTCTGAGCAAATTGATTTCTAAATTGGAAAAACAAGTATAGTCAAAGGAACGCATTTTCCCTGACTCGACGAAACATTCCTTTTCATAAATCAATATTGAACAGCGTCCGTCGAAAGACGACAAAGGCTCGATGGTGAAAATGGAATGAAAAAAATGGAACACACACAAACGCAGTCGTCGCAACCAAACAATAAGATACCAAATAGAAATTCGTAGTGACGGAACGCGATTGATTGGGCTGACATGTTGGGGAAGCGACTATACGGTGGGTGTGTTAAGTCGTACTCATTAAGAGTTAGACAAATGATCCACTATTTGTACTCGGAAATTTCAACCTTTATACAGCCAAGATTTAAGGCCGGTTTTTCACCAGAGCTTCAGGTATACCAGTGGCAGAGATAAATTCGTTTTTTTTTTATTGTGTATATCCGAGCTTAGAGACATTAGTAAAGCTCGCCGCTTTCGGCTACGTTTTGGTACTTGATATAATTAAAATATACTATATTTCTCATAAAAATTATATCAGAATTTTATTCAGGCAGATTATTTTTATTTTCGTCCACGCAGACACATAATTACTCTCGTTTCTATTCATGTGAACATTTACAAGGCAAGAACACTCATTTATATTTTATAGAAAATAAAAAAGGTATCAAATTTTATTTTTTACATTAATGATCATGATATTTCTAAAATACAGAAATTACGTAGAATTGTGTAAGTTGTTCACCTAAAGTTATATTGAAAAACATTTATGTGGCAAAAATAACAAATTCTTGAGACATTTTGTGATCTCATGGAAGTGTCTGGTAGATCAGATGGATTGCTCGGCGATTTGATTTTTTAAATATCAAATAATTATGTATAATGTAACTACCTTCATAAATTCCGAAATGGAGTATCAAACGTCAAAATAGAGAATAATGGATAAAATTAAATTATTCAGGCAACAACACTTACTGACATTTCTCAAATGTATATCTAAATAATGACTAGATAGAAAAAAATTATCATTCATCAGACGTGGGGATATGCGCAAAGAATTTTCCCTAGAGTAAATGAAAAGGTACCAACCCGCACATCTCCAATGCAGCGCAAT